GAGAGAGAGAGAGAGAGAGAGAGAGAGAGAGAGAGAGAGAGAGAGAATGCAAACATGTTTGTGTATGTGCTGATGAACATGTGTTTTGAGGCCAGAGACTAACCTTAACTCTTACTAACCTCAAATGTCACTATTCACCTTTTTTAAAAAAAAAAATATGTTTTGCTGGGTGTGGTGGCCCACACCTTTAATTCCAGCACTTGGGAGGCAGAGGCAGGTAGATCTCTGAGTTCAAGGCCAGCCTAGTCTACAGAGTGAGTTCCAGGATATCTAGAGTTACACAGAGAAACTGAGTCTTTAAAAAATTTTTTTTTTCTTGAGATAGTAGGCTAAGCTGGCTGGCCAGCAAGTCCCAGGGATGTGTGTGTCTCCCACTTCCCCAGCTCTGAGGTCACCTCCCAGCATGCTCCTGCCTGTGTGGGTTGACTCTTGATTTTAGAACTCAGACGAGCAGTTCTGTTCTAGACTGAAGGGGGATGAATGGCTACTTCAGGGAGGCCTGTGCTTGTCCTGGCTAGACCTCAGTGCCTTCAATTCCTGGGGCTGGGTTTAACATGACAGTTAGGACTCTGGAGTTGGGGGCTTACATCTTGTCTGGGCCTTGCACATTTGTGGAACTTTACATCCCTGTGACTCAATTATTCATTTGTGAGGCTTGAACCTTTAGGTCTGGCTGTGACCAGAGAGTTAGTATGCTGAGAATCCCTTGTGGTTACATGCCATGCTCAGGGCCTGATATTATCTTCTGTGGTGTATGTCATTCTGAGAGCAGAAGGCATTTCCTTCAGTCCGCTCCTGTTCTGTGTCCCATTCCTTCTTTATCCTGTCAGGATAACAGCCTGAGCTAAAATCAAGAAAAAATGTACTTAAAATAAAACTACTTAGTGTTTGGATGGTTTAGACTAAGAAGTTGGCCCTGGATTTTTCTCCACATGGACCAAGATAGTATTTTTGCTAGTTATTTAAATATTTTCTTCTTTCCTCACTTTTTCTTTCTTGTAGTCCAGGCTAGTCTTGTACTCTAGAGATCCACCTGCCTCTGCCTCCCAGTGCTAGGACCAAAGGTGTGCTCCCGTTTTTCTTTGGATCTAGCTAGTATAACATTGGTTGAATGGTCTCAGTGTAGGGCAACATTGAGTTTTTAGAGAGATTAAAAAAAAAAAACAAAAAGAGTTAAATTCTGCGTCTTGTAGATTTTGTTGTTGTTGTTTTGTTATTTCTTTGCTTGTTTGTTTTGAGCCAGTGTCTCTTGTAGTTCAGTTCATGCTGGCTTCCAGACCTTGAATTTCTGACCCTTCTTCTTCTGTCCCCTCAGATACTAAGATTATGGGCATGCACCACCAAGTCTGGCTTATGTGGTGGTGAGGATTAAACCTAGGGCCCTACACTCCCATCCCATCATGAGCCTTTGAATTAACCAGGACATGGCTTTGGAATCACACTGGAGAATGGGAGGCCTTGAAGGCCTGTCCTTGGAGGCTCGGCGTGAATAGAGGACAACCCTGACTGAGTCTTAGCTTCTGGAAAAGCTTTGGGGGGAAGCATCAGTCTTTCCAAGCAAGGTGACAGTTTACTGAGAACAGACACTGACCCTCTGTTATCTGCCAGGCTAGTCAAGACCAGTCCGGAGCTGTCTGAGTCCTGCTCATGGTTCCCCGAGTCCTATGTGATTTATCCAACTAACCTCAAGACGCCAGTCGCTCCAGCGCAGAATGGCATCCAGCTTCCGGTCAGTAACTCCAGGACAGATGAGAGAGAATTCTTCTTGGCTTCTTATAACAGAAAGAAAGAGGATGGGGAAGGCAATGTTTGGATTGCAAAGTCATCAGCTGGTGCCAAAGGTAAGTGGCCATTGCTGTGCTCTCTGTCGAGTTCAGGATCTTCCCGGGTGCTGTTCCACGGCATGTTAGGTTTCGGTGCTGTTTCATTTCCTTGTTTTGAGGGTGGGGCGTGTAGATGCACATGTAGACGTCACAGCACATGCTTCAGGTGATGTTCTCTCCTTTCACCATGTGGGTCCCGGGGATTGAACTCAGATCATTAGGTTTGGCAGCAATCACTGTTGCCCACTGAGCCATCTCACCAGTCCCTACTGATATATGTAGATGAATGACTTCACACAGAATCATCACAATCAGAAGGCTGTGTCCAGTTTTTATTCTGGAAAAAAAAAAGATTTTCTTTTTTGAGATAGGTTCTCATGTAGCCTAGGCTGGCTAATGATGACCTGACACTCCTGAACCTGCTGTTTCCATCTCCTGAGTGCTGGGGTTGCAAGCATGCACTCCTGTGCTTGGCTTTTATTGGGTTCTGGGGATGAGATATTGGGTTCTGGGGATGAGACCCCGGGCTTTATGTATGCAAGGCCAATGCTCCACTACTGAACTTTAGTCCTGCCCTTTAAAGGCCTTCTGTAGCCTCCTAATGTTTACTGCCTGAGTCTTCACTGGAGTCAGTGGCACGCTCACGGTCTCTAAAAGGGATTACAAATGTGAAGTGTCTGACATAGAACTTTCCATGTCCTTTCCAGCTTGTCCACCAGCCGGCTCCTCCTTCACATTGTCTAGTTAGTGCATGACCCCACTATTCCCCCAGTCTAGGAAGCTTCGAGTCTCGGATTCCTCCTCTTTATAATCTATGCCAAGTACATGAATGTCTTGCCAGGGCTACCTTCAAATTATGTTCAGAATTGGGTTCTTATATTTCTAACACTCCCATTCTGGATCAAAGCCACCAGTCTCTCTACCCAGTTGCTGCAATGTGACCCTCAGCCAGCTCTCCTCTTGCCAGACAGTGATGATTTAAAAACACAAACCTGATTATGTTACTTCCTGATCCATTTAGGGTGGGTCTTGGAGTCCTGATGGAGCCCGCCCCATTGGACACTTCCCCGTATCTCTGAGGGCATCTCCCATTCTTGGCCTTGCTCACTGTGTCATGTAGACACAAAGACTGCCTTGGAGCTCCCAAAATAGATAAATTTTCCTCTATACCTGGGATGTGTCTCCATCAGCTCAGACATTGCTTTGTCAGAGAAGGCTTTTCTGGTCTAAAATGGCCCCATGTCTGTTACTTTCTGTATCTTTTTTTTTCTGCTCCGGCCCTGCTTGCTTTGGCCCAAAGGTTTGTTTGTTTGTTTTTACTTATTTACTTATTTATTATATGTAAGTACACTGTAGCTGTCTTTAGACACCCCATAAGAGGGCATCCAATCTCATTACGGTTGATTGTGAGCCACCATGTGGTTGTTGGGATTTGAACTCATGATCTCCAGAAGAGCAGTCAGTGCTCTTAACCGCTGAGCCATCTTACCAGCTCTACTTTCTGTATCTTTAACCTGCATTGTTAGTGTCTTCCCAGGATTGTATCTCAAATCCTGACCATTCCCACCATACATTAGAAGCCCAACATAAACACAGACTCAGTTTCATTTGCTTTTGTATTTTCCTCACATGCACTCAATACATGTGTGGAGTGGATGCCCAGAAAGGGATAAGGCTCAATATCAACTCAGGCTTAGGCTCAGGAGAAGGCACCTAATGTAATAACCACAGGTCTCCGCTGTAACTACTGTACTTGAATTTTATTTATTTTTTTTATGGTTTGGAAGACTGGCTGGCCATTGTTACTCATTTCGGTCCCTTGTCAACTGGACCTCAACTTCTTTTCCACCAATCATAAGACAGGAAGGCATCGCTGGGAACCTCTTAAAAATGGGTAAAGTTAGCTCTTGCCAGAAGCCAGGGGCCTCTTCTGCCTCTCTCTTTCTTTCTTTCTCTCTCTCTTTCTCTCTCTCTCTCTTTCTTTCTTTCTTTCTTTCTTTCTTTCTTTCTTTCTCTCTTCCTTTCTCTCTTCCTTTCTCTCTTCCTTTCTTTCTTTCTTTCTTTTATGTATGTGTGTACACTGTTCTGTTACTGTCTTCATACACACCAGAAGAGGGCATCAGATTTCATTACAGATGGTTGTGAGCCACCATGTGGTTGCTGGGAATTGAACTCAGGACCTTTGGAAGAGCAGTCAGTGCTCTTAACCACTGAGCCATCTCTCCAGCCCTCTGCTTCTTTCTTGTAACTCCATCTTCAGTACTACCTTTTAGTTTGGTTCTGGTCATAACCTGGGGAGCTAGAAGAGAAATAGGCATCTGTGGTGTTCTAGATTGTGGCTGGGAGGACATCATTGGTCCCTGGGCCCCACTGAGGCAGGACAGAGGGGTACCATGCAGCAGGAAGTGGTGAACAGAGAATACCATTTTGAAGCATTTTGTCTTTAGGCTTGAGAAGGTGCATATTAGAATTTAGCAGAGTAGGGACTAAACGTTGAAATTAATAGAACCAACACATGGCTGTTACACTTGCTAAACAAGTATTACTTACAGCTACTATATACGTGGTACAGTTGGCTCAAACAGCACCAGGACAACCCATAACATTTCCCTTTTTTGTTCAATTAAAGGCTCTTTTTTTTTTTTCAGATATAAATTGAGCACAACCATGCAAATTATAAAGTATAAGATCCACTTAACACCCAGTCCATCATATTTGTGAGTTTAGACAAAGCACTCTACCATCTATCCTAACTTAAGAAGCTACAATTCTATACTTAAATTATTTTCTGGTTTTAGCTTGTATTACCATCTGAAAATCATCCTCTCAAATTTATATCATCTCTCTCAATGCTAAACAACTTGTGTTGACTCTGAGACTATAACTAGTCTTCTAAGCCGGGCGTTGGTGGCGCACGCCTTTAATCCCAGCACTTGGGAGGCAGAGGCAGGCAGATTTCTGAGTTCGAGGCCAGCCTGGTCTACAGAGTGAGTTCCAGGACAGCCAGGGCTATACAGAGAAACCTTGTCTCGAAAAACCAAAAAAAAAAAAAAACTAGTCTTCAACTCCGTCAGAAATAAAGTCTGAGACCGACTTAAATATACCTGAACATAGCTTCACATAAAATCACCTGAGTATGTGATCTGCTCCTCGTCAGGGCGGCCCCTCTTGAGGAAACAATTAACATTAGATTACAAACAGCACAGGGCAACCCATAACATACAGTAAGTGTAACAGCAGAGGACAATGGAAGAGTTAGGTCTTATCATGTGACTGCTTTTCGTTTTTATTGCCTTTCTTCATAAGTGGGCAAGGCCTGGTTTATTCTCTATGGTCCATTGCTCTTTCATATGAAGACATGAAGAAAGCAAAATTTAAACACAACTCCTTTTGTACTTCGCCCCAGTCAGAATAAGATGCTAAGGTAAAGTGTGTGTAGGCTCTGGGGCCCAGAAGTGCTAGGAGGGTTAAGAACAGGGTTAGAGAGCCCCTGCCGAGTGAAGACAGGCTGTGTCCATGGGCTGTAGAACTCAGCGGAGGAAGGATGCCAGTTCACCTAAACTGCTCTGCAGGTGTACTGTGATTCCAGTTAAGAGAGCAGCAGGATTTCCCTATAAAGTTCCTAAAATCTGTATGAAAAGCACAGGTCATAGAGTATGTTCAATGATCTTAAAAAAGGTTAAGTAGAATCACTCACTCTGCTCATTAGGTGACATTAAGACATACTGCATCACTGTAGTGACCAGGACACTGAAGTTTGTCAGATGGACAGAAGCAGGAATCCACAAATCAGGATTGAAAACTCAAAAGTAGATCCACACGAATTTGTCCATCTAGTGTTTGACAGAGGCAAAAGGCATCTGTCTTCATTTCCTTTCCTGATACTATGATGAAACGCCCAGGCCATACAACGTAAGGAAGGAAGGGTTAATTTTAGCTCACAGTTCAAGGCACAGGCCCATTACGGCCAGGAAGTCAGGACAGCAGAGCTTGGAGCAGTTGGTCACATTGCCTCTGCGGTCTGAAGACCAGAGCAGGGCGTGCATGCTGCTCCGTCCCCTTTCATCTATTCAGTGCAGAATCCCCTGCCCAGGAAACGGCCCCACCCACAATTAAGGTGGGTCTTCTCCCTTCAGATAATGTATTCAAGATAATCCCCCTGCACACGGTTCCCAGAGGCCCAGTTTCCCAGGTGATTCTGGAGTTCATCAAATTGGCAACACTAGCTACTGTCAATAAAAGAAAGACATAGCTGACATAGCTCATTGGGTAAAGCACTTGCTGGGCAAGCATGATGATCAGAGGCCAGATCCCCAGGACCCATGTAAAAGCCAGGGAGGCATGGCAGCTCTCCTGTTATCTTGGTGCCTAGGAGGCAGTAGTAAGGGCTCCCTGGAGCTAGCTGGTTAGCCGGGCTAGCCAAAATGGCAAGTTCTGGTTTCAGCCAGAGACCCATGTAAATTATCTAAGGGTAAGAAGAGCAATTTGAGAAAGATACCCAGCATCAACCCCAAGCTCCTGCATACATGCACACACATAGTACATGTGTACTGACATGCACACATTCATCCCCCATACAGAAACATTCACACACACAGATGCATATTGCATACTTACACACATGCAAACGTAAAAGAAGGATAAACACTTCGACAAGTGGCACTGTATACAGTGCACAGTCACAGAAAAGACAACGAACCCACTCACCGTCATACAGCAAGGCAAATCTAATTTGTAATTCATGTGAACAGTAAACGTAAAATCAGGCGAGAGACTGGCAAAGGAACTGTAAGCATGATACCAGTACGTGTTAATCCATGAGACAAGGACTGAGAAATCAGACCTCATCAAAACAAAGCTTGCTCTGTGAAACCTTCTCTGGTGCCCATGAAGACACAAGTGGCCTGTGTCATGTGATGCAGCTCATTGAAATGTGAGGAGGATGCAGTCTGTGGCCACATTGGGTTAGGAGTTGTGAGGAGCCGGGGCGAGGAAGGAGAGATGGTTGCAGAATTTTGAGGGGGGGGGGATGATGAAAATGTTCTAAAAATGGATTCTAATTTGAAGAACCCTTGAGTATACTAAAAACCATCAAATTGTATGCTTTACAAGGTTGGATTTTCTAGTGTGTTGTATTTCAATTAAATTGTTTTAGGCTATGTCGCTTGTCATAGTTGATGGGCTGTTTCCATGCCTTCAGTCTTCACTAACGTGCTGCAGGGCGTGCTGCTTTATGACTGTGCCTTTACCCTGATGCTCCGGTGTGCTTGCCTTCCTGGCATTTCCATAGGGCATCATCTTAGAATAGATTTTGGTGATCACAAGCCGTCATTCTTATTATAACTGGTACCTAGTGACAGTGATATCTTAACCCACTCAGAAACTGTATCTATAAAACTGAAATTTTGGGCCAGAGATATGGTTCAGCTATAAAGGTGCTTGCTGCCAAACCTGACAAACTGAGTTCAATTCCCCGGGATCCACAGGGTCAAAGGAGAGAATCTACTTCTTTGGCCTCCACACAAGCAGTGTGGCATACGCATATACTCACCAAAAAATAAATAATTCTAATAAGTTTGTTTAAAAACCTGAAACTTCATAAGTTAGGACCGAGAACACTATATGGGGGAGTTAATGGGATGACCCTGCAGAGGGCAAGAGACAGCAAGAGGGGAGGGAGGGTGGTCAAGCAGTTGGTTGGAGGAACAGGCTAGTGAAACCCTCCTGTGAATTTTTCTGTTTCCTTTGCTTTTGGTCAGGAGCTGTCTTTCTTGGAATGAGCTGGGTTAGTGTCCATGTTGCTCTCGTTTGCAGGTGAAGGCATCCTCATCTCCTCAGAGGCGTCGGAGCTTCTGGATTTCATAGACAACCAGGGCCAAGTGCACGTGATCCAGAAATACCTCGAGCACCCTCTGCTCCTCGAGCCCGGTCACCGAAAATTTGATATTCGGTAATGGTCAGAGTCAGCAGACTTCATGTCCATTGTCTTTTCAGAGTGGTGGGGTCTGGTGAGGTCTGGTGAGGTTTGGTGGGGTCTGGTGAGGTCTGGTGAGGTCTGGTGAGGTCTGGTGAGGTCCGGTGAGGTCCGGTGAGGTCTGGCGAGGTCCAGTGAGGTCTGGTGAGGTCCGGTGAGGTCTGGTGAGGTCTGGTGAGGTCCGGTGAGGTCCGGTGGGGTCTGGTGAGGTGAGAGGACTTGGACGGAGCATTTGCTGAATCCAACATGTTGCCACATTGAGCACAGCCGCGCCTCTCAAAATTGTTGCTTCTTCTTTTAGTTCTCCTGTCTAAAAAACATTGCTTAGATTATGGTGCTGGTCAAGACACCAAAAGGCAAACGCAGCAAGTGGAGGTATCATTTGTTAACCTCAAACACATCCATAGCCTTCAAAATTGTCTATTTTCACAAGGAACTCAAGTCTCTCACTATTTATGGTGAAACACTTCATTTGCTTCATTACGGTTCTAAGCCATTATTTTGGCTAGCTTATGATTTGCCTCATATAACTTTCAAACCTTCTCCTTTTCTATACTGTACCGTCCCCACAAATAGTCAAGGTGTGTGCCAGGTGGTTGCACACACATTTAATCCTGGCACAGGAAGTAATAGAGGCAGGCAGATGTCTTCAAAGGAAGTCTCTAACCCAGCCAGGGCCTCGCAGCAGGACTCTGTATCAAAAATAGGTGGATGGATGGATGGATGGATGGATAGATAGATAGATAGATAGATAGATAGATAGATAGATAATAAAATGAATCAAGGTGTGGAGGTCATGTCTAAAAATGTGGTATCTGAATAAGACTGTTTGTTGGCTTGCAGAAGCTGGGTCCTGGTTGACCATCAATATAATATCTACCTCTATAGAGAGGGTGTGCTTCGAACTGCTTCAGAACCATATCATGTTGATAATTTCCAAGATAAGACCTGCCATCTGACCAATCACTGCATTCAGAAAGAGTACTCAAAGAACTATGGGAAATATGAAGAAGGGAATGAAATGTTCTTCGAGCAGTTCAATCAGTACCTAACAAGCGCTCTGAACATCACCTTAGAAAGTACCATTTTGCTGCAGATCAAACACATCATAAGGTAAGTTCTCTGTAACCTTTCTGGTTTATGTTTCTTCTGGAAGGAACTTGAGGTGCTTATGCCTTTTAGAGAATTGTCCTCCTAAAGCTGTCTAATTTATGGGTGGAGAACATTTGTAGTTTTTCAGTATTTTCACTTTACAGTCTATAGAATATATCTGTGAGAATATCACTTCATTTCTTCTAGGTTTTGATAATTCACATCTCTCTAGTTTACTTGGATAGATTAAATCTTTTTTTAAAAGATCAACTTTGGCTCTTACTAACCATCTTCTTATCTTTTTTGTTATCTCCTCCTGTCTGTTCTTTGAGAAATTTGATTTGTCTTCTACAGTTATTTAAGGTGAAAAGTTGGAAAATCGATTTGAGGCTAATACAAAAGTATAAACTTATTTAAAAGTAAAAAGAAAGATAGACACAACAGCAAACCATACAGTGTCTCAGTTTTTCTTCTGTTTTCCACAGATTATATGAGGCTATATTTATATTTTTATCATATCAAAATCTTTATTTTCCTTAATGCTTACATCCTGCCAGTGTGATCTAAAATACTTTGCTTATTACCCACGAGTTGGTAGATTTTTCATAATTCCATTACGGTCATAGGGACATTGTGTGGTTTCACATTTATTTATTTGTTTATTTATTTATCTATTTATTTATTCAGGTGTGGATATGTGTGGTGCATGTGTCTGTATGTGTGTTCACACGTGTATGTGCAGGTTCCTGTGCGTGTGTGTGAGTTCACATGTGTGCTTGAATGGGTGGCACCCAGCCTGCACCTTATATACTAAAGTCTCCCACTTGAACCCAGAGCACACTGATGCATCTGCCCTGGCAAGACAGCTAGCTCTAGGGACCCTGTATGCATAGCTTATATTTAATGGTAACCGTGTATTTGTGTTTACCTGCTCCTGACTTAGAGTTCATTTCTATTGTCTTTTTTTCCTCTTGATGCATTTTCTGGTGTACCTAGGAGTAGTGCTTCACTGGCAGTACTCTGTATTGTAGGGTACACAATCTTCTAATTGTAAAACTGAAGTGCAGTGCACTGAAGTGTGACTCAGTGAGCTCCGAGTTACGCTCATAACCATAAACAAACCATGAGGAAGATATTTACAGTATGCAAACTCCTCTGGTAGGCTAAAGCAGCAGGGGTTGAAGGCTCCAGCTAGCCTGGGCTATAGGATAAGACCATGCCCCCAAAGTAAGCAAGTAAGTAAGTAAGTAAGTAAATAAATAAATAAATAAATTTATATATTGAGACCCTTCCTCCAAAATAAGTAAGTAAATAGAAAGAAAGAAGGAAAGAAAAAAGAAAGAAAGAAACCCAGCATCCCGGAGTATCCTCTTAGCTCCTTTAGAATAGGATTCCTTGACAAAGGTATCCTTCCGGTCTTTGTGGCTGGAGTCATGGGTGCTCATTTTAAACGGTGTAAATGGTACTATGGCTCCTGTTTTAGGGTCAGCTCTTGTTGACATTGTATTGCTGTATTTATCTACAAGGCAGTAAGTTTTTCTTTATTACTATGTATTATTCCATTGTGTGACTGTTACAAAATGTGTCCTTTCAGCAGTTGACAAACATGGATTTTATGCCTTGTGTTTTACTTTTGTTTATCTTTCGTCTTGTTTTTCTTCTTGTTTCTTACGTTTTAGACCTATACTTTGTCTGGTAGTCATAGGATGGTTAGAATTCCTTCACCAAGAAAATAAAATATGCAAAAGGAATCCCTACTCTTTTTTGGACACTTCCACGCCCCCTGCTGGCTGTTCCGTGCAGTGCAGGGATGTGTTCCTGAATGAAGCCATCAGGTTATCTTTTTCCCCAGCCAACCTCCTGCTGACTCCTACTGTAGTCAAAAAAGGAAGCACTGCCTGCAGCTTCAATCAGTGAAAACTCTTACTGGAGTTTATTCATCCTAACCTCCTAGCAGATAAAAAGTGTAATTTTGTGTGTCAGATTGCAACGCTTGTCTTTTTATCCTTTCCTGTTGTTTCCCTTTTCACTAAACTTCTGACTTTTAAGAATGATCATATTTTAGGGAGCTGGTGAGATGGCTCAGTGGTTAAGAGCACTGACTGCTCTTCCAGAGGTCTTGAGTTCAATTCCCAGCAACCACATGGTGGCTCACAACCATCTGTAATAGGATCCGATGCCCTCTACTGGTGTGTCTGAAGACAGCTATAGTGTACTAATATACATAAAATAAATAAATAATTCCTTTAAATTTTTTATCATTTAAAATATATTTTAATCAAAACACTCTTAAATGAGCCAGGTGTGGTAGTGTGTTTACTGATCTTGAGGAGCCAGAAACGGGGAGAACGGAGCAGACACGTGGGTAGACTTACGTCTCGTGCCACAGTCAGCTCTGTTCAGCATCAGATAATTTATACTCTGAGGGTTGAGAAGAGTCACCTGAATAGAGTGTACAATCACAGAGACAAGCCACACAAGGGAAAAACATGGTTTTTCCATAGAGGCATGTAAACAAATAACAATAGCCAGATGTAATGTATAACCTATTGTAAACTCACTCCTATGCACTACTCCTGGGAGAAGGACGAAACCATATTCCAAGAATAATTCTGGGTTTTGAGTAAATTGAGGTCACGAGACTCTTGTCTTCTTGGTGTTTTCTCACAAGCCTTCAGAATTCTCACATGAGTCGATTCTTGGACGTCTTTAATCCCAGCACTTGGAAGGAGGAGGCAGATGGATCTCTGAGTTTGAAGCCAGCCTTGTCTACATAGAGAGGTCCACACAACCAGGCATACACAATGAAACTCTGTATCCAAAACAATGATGAAAAACAAAACCAAAAAACTTCACTTAAAGTATTTATTCATAGAGAAAATGCTTTAAAATGTTTAATAGAGTGCTCTTTCTTCCCTCTCCCCTCCCTGAATTTTTTTGTGATTTGTTTGTTTGTTTGACAGGGTTTCTCTGTGTAGTCCTGGATGACTTGGAACTCACTCTGTAGACCAGGCTGGCCTCAGACATCCACCTGCCTCTGTCCCCCTGAGTGCTGTTGGGTTTTTGTTTTTTAGGTTTCTTTCTTTTCTCTCTCTGTCTCTCTGTCTCTCTCTCTGTCTCTCTCTGTCTCTCTCTCTCTCTCTCTCTCTCTCCCTCCCTCCCTCCCTCCCTCCCA